TATAGGTCAGACCTTCACCAATGACCAGTGATTTAATCAATCATGCATGTCACGAAGCATCCATAAAAACCCAAGAGGACAGGGATCTGAGCACTTCCAAGATAGCTGATGATGTGCGAGATTCCTAAAGGGTGGTGCACCCACAGAGGGCATGGAACCTGTATATCCTTTCCCCCATACCTCAGCTCACACATCTCTGCATCTCTATCCTTTATAATATCCTTTATAAAAAACCTTAAATGTAAGTAAGTGTTTCTCTCAGTGCTGTGAGCTGTTCCAGAAAATTAATTGAACCCAAAGAGGTAGTTATGGGCACCCCAACTTGAAGGTGGTTGGTGAGAAGTCTTAGAGGCCCAGACGTGTGACTGATGTCTGAAGGGGACTGCGCCCTCATTTTGTGGGATCTTAACTCTGTCCCCAGGTAAATAGTGTCTGAATTGAATTAGAGGATACCTAGCTGGTGTCCATTGCTTGGTGTGTAGGGAAGAACCCACACTTTTGGTCACAGAAGTCTTCTTTTGTGTTTATGATTCTTGTGTGAAAGCAGAGGAAAACAGTGCATATATATTTGGAATTCCTCTTGCTGAATTGATCCCTTTATTATTATATAATGACCTTCTTTGTCTGTTTTTACTCTTTTGGACTTAAAGTCTGTGTTATCTGATATAAATATAACTAGTCCTGCTTGCTTTTCATTCCTGTTTGCATGGAATATCTTTTTTCTGTCCCTTTAGTTTCAGTTTAGGTGTTTTTACAGGTGAGGTGAGTTTCTTATAGGCAACATGTACTTGGGTCATTTAAAAAAAAAAATCTGTTCAACTAGTGTGTATCTTCTATGTGTAAAGTTTCTTCCCTTTACATTCAAGATTATTATTGATATGTGTGGGCTTATTCCTGTCATTTTATTAATTGATTTATTTTGTGCATCCGTTATTCCTTTCTTTTTCTCTGTTCATTACTGTGGTTTAGTCGTTTTCTGTAGGGGTAATATTTGAGTCCTTTCTTTTCCTCCTTAGCATGTTTACTCTAACAGTAAGTTTTATACTTTCATGTGTTTTCATGATGGTCGATATCATCCTTTCACTTTCGGGTGTAGGACTCCCTTAAGCATTTCTTGTAGGGCTATTCTAGTGGTGTTGAATTTCCTTATCTTTTGCTTGTCTGGGAAAGACTTTATTTCCCTCTCATAAATGAAGGATAACTTTGCTGGATATAGTATCCTTGTCTGGCAGTTTTCTTCTTTCAATACTTTGAATATATCATCCTGTTCTCACCTGACCTGTAAAGTTTCTACTGAGAAATCCATTGTTATTCTTTTTGGAGTTCCCTTATAAATGATCAGACAGATGCCTTTCTCTTGATGTTTTTAGAATTCTCTCTTTGTCTTTG